GCCTCTAATAATTCCCATTATTCTTGCATTAAGAAGGTATTTTCTTCCATTATAACTCATTTTATTATCTGTGAGGTTTTACCATAAACTTCTATTTTATTTGCAGTAAAAATGCCAGATCGCATATCCAATTCTGTGCAGCTGTTACACACAGGATGGCATAATTTTGTCCCTCTTAATTTGGATTATTTTATGTAATTTGTAGACCTGCTTCCTAAATACATCTTTTACATTTTCTAGAAGCACATCTGGGCAATTTCTTTTTGCCTTCTCTAGTGCTCTTTGCCATTAAATTAGTGTCTAGAAAAAAAACTTGCACATCAGTTTGGATCCTAAATTTTCACCCTGACTTCCTGAGCAAGTTTCTTGTTTCTCTGAGCCATAGTTTCTTCATAATTTCTGAGCTACGAGACTCTTCTATCACAGAGTATATTTGGTTACTTATTTTGCTCCTAACTTAACCCTAGAACTTCCTCTTTTGGAAACACTAGTGACTTCTGTCTGAGCTCCTAAACCATTGCTAGCTTTTAGCAAATGTAAAAATTGCATTTTAGTTTAACAAATGTTCCTCAGGACTCACTTGTACTCTCTGTAACCTAGAGGAAAGGCTGAAAACTCATCTGAAGAAACATTGTTGAAAGGTAGAGGTTTTTGCTCCTTTATTTAAATTTGATTTCCTCTGTAGGTCTTTTTATACTATATTTCAATATTGTCATATTTGTGGCTCTTTACCTTATTACAAGTCCATTTTGGGGAAGGGGGCATATCCAGCAGTATTCAGGAATTATTTTTGGCTCTCTCTTTAGGAGTGATGCCTGGCCTCTTTTGGGGGATCCTATGTGTTGCCAACAATTCAAACTACTCACCACCATGTTAAGGAAAGCTCCTCACACCCTGAACGATCTCTCTTGCCATTAACAAGATTTTGCTTCATATTTAAAAAATAATTGGTCTTTTAAAAATGTTTATGATATTAAACAACTGATTGAATATAAATAAACCTTTCTCTATAATAATAATCATTTTGTGCTTACAATGTATTCTCAGTGTATATTGTACAGCACTTGGCAGGTTTCCAATTGGAAAAAGTTGAGAGCTAAGATAGTTAAGTTCTACAAAATGTGAAGGCACATGGAAATGTCTTAGATACAGATTTGAAAATATGAATGATGACTGGTTATGTTTCTTGGGGGAAAACATAAGCTTTAAAATATTTATATTAACATGTAAATTCACAGAACCCAAATAAATACTTAAGGATAAAGTAAAAAGAAAATGTTTAGTATAAAAGTGAGAAAGTATTGCTTACTAAACCCAAATTCAAGGTTTTGTTTTGCAAGGCATTCAATCCATAGCTCAGGAAAATAGGTTGTATCCTGAAAGATGAAAGCAGTAAATTGAAACTAGAACCCTGAAGGCGACTACGGAAGCATGCATTTATTTGACCATCTGGTAGTAATCTACTAAATACATAGAAATAATCTGTTGGAAAATAATCGGAACATTTTTTCTGAGCAAAGTTTCTGTAGATTAAGGTGTGGTAACTTTGTGCATCAAAAATCATAAAGGCTAACCCTTGTCACCATGTTATCTAAACTCAACAATTTTTTTAAAAAGAGTAAAGAATAACAAAGTCAGACTCCTCAAGCAAAGGTGCTGTAGTTTAGCTTTTTTATTCTTTTTTATTGACTATGGAAGCAGCTGCAGAGAATTATTTATTTTTATTTTACAAAGATACCTTTTAAAATGTAAAAGTCAGTTCAGTATTTTTTATTATTACTCCCATCTTTATAGATGATTCTTGACTACAAAATGCCATAAATTCAATGGTCACGTTTATTATTTTTGTGTAGTCAACAGGCACATAAAAAAAGACATTTGCATGCTTTCAGTATGAAATGTGTTTAACTACAAAGGAATGTAACAACTAATTTATTTAATAACTCAAAAAGGTCAACATATGTACATTAGTGTTTTACAGACAGAAACACATAGACATTTTAAAATTAACTGAAAACCTCTGATTTCTAGTTATAATTTTTTATATTGAAAATGCTAAATGATATGTTAGAGATCAGTAAAATATACTTAGACTAAAGTAGTAACTATGGAGAGTTTTAAATTAACAAAATTGAAATTATTTAGTTTTACTCTTTGACAGTAAAACTTTTTGCTTATCAGGGATTCTTAATTGCATATTTGCTCTGTAATTAATTGATGTGATCACAGAACAGCTAGCACTCAGGCAGAATTAGGATCCTGTTAAAAGCACAGTTTTATAAAGTGAGGTCATTCACCAACACCTGCAGAATGAAGAGAAAATACATAAATACAATCTAAAATAAATGTGATCATACCATTCTCAGAGAATCATAAAATACCTCAAACTTCTTTCTTTACAGATTGTTTAAATTTTATTAAATGATTGCATTATCATAGCTTTCTTGAATGAAACTGAAATTTTAGTTTGAATGGTGTGTTTTATATTAGCTGGGTGACAGTGGTGCTATTAATAAATTGCAGACTAATTGGCGTTTTGTATGTGACTGAATGCCAGTTCACGGTATTTAAAAGTGATACACAATTAAGTTTTTTTTCCTCCTAGTCAAAAATATTGGCTGATGGATTGTGGTCATTATTTAATGAGTTAGATTTAACTAGATGAATTAGAATCAGAAACTTACATTCTTTTGGAAACATGAACTTTTCAACAAAGATGCCATTTTTTAATATCTATCACTGGGCACTGCCTAAATGTAATCTGGAAATGTTTATTTAAATTATCTATTGCATAGGCATCAGCTTTAAGATGTCAGCTGATGTAGATCAGCTGTCCATAGAGACAGTCACTTGGGTGTGGAGGGTGTAGTCGGAATGGTTGTGCCTAGTTGATTGGCCTGGAAGACTCAGTAATAAGGCAGAGTTGTGGAAGTGAGAATCCTAATGCCAATGTCAAAGGTCGAGTTGTGTGAAAGAATATGAAACCCGAGCAGCAGGGGATTCTTAACCTGGACTTGCGACAAATGGGTCACCTCTTGCCACACAAGTGCTCAGTGTTTGGAAGCTGCGATAGAACTTGTCTCATCCCTTGTGTTTTTTACCTTTTGCCTTCTCAATCTGAAATAGATCCTAGGCAGTGAAGATAACTTCATAATTCCAGATATTCTCCCATTTAAGTTCACGTTCATTCTACTCACTGGGGTGTCAGCAAATTGAGGAAATACTGATTAATTCTTAGACTCTGGAGTGCTTTTGATTGATCCATCTTTTCAAATCCAGATCACATGGCGTGGGCTTAAGTAAGGGGCTTTTGCTACCACCTTAATAAGAGCCTCCAGCAAATGTGGGCTTTTTACATTTCTGTTTCCAGGGACCTATGAGTTATTGTAAACCTAGTTATAGAACAGAATGTATTGCCCAAATGTGGCTTCTTGATTATGAACTTCACAACTTAAAAATCAGATGTTATTTTTCTTAAAGTCAGGAATTATGGAAACAAAGGCCTCACCTTACAATGGATAATAAAGTACAAAATCAGTAATCCCCATCCCCATAAATTTCTATTCAATCATTTTTTTTATTCATCATGAACATTTGTTATTAGACATCTATCAGCCTTAAGTCAAAGAGTGTTCTGTCCAAGCACTGGTTTATTGTTTATATATGTCTATATATATATATATATATATATATATATATATATATATATATGGCTCAGAGACTTATATTGGATGGGATGCTGGAGATCTAACACAGGTTGATTACATGATAGGCAAGCACCCTATCCCTGTACTATCAGTCTCTTGTCCCTGTTCTAGTTTTAGAAATTTATTTACAAGAGAAAAGAGGATATCAATAGTTCAGCTTTTTAAAAAAATTAATTGTTTAGGATAATAAAATAATATGATCTCATGTAAATATTCACGTGTTATAAAATTAAATAAAATTCTATTTGTACAGTATATTCAGTGATAAAACAAATCTGGTGCATATTATTCCAGCATTCGGAGGTGATGGCAGTTGTCTTGGGGAACTCTCCTGGTCAGCTTGATCAGTCGATTAATGTCAATGGAATGGCCTCAGGATGTGATGCTGTTTGTACCCTGTGCTGTTGGTTACCCAGGCAACTCCACTGGTGCATGCAAGCCTCGAGTGACCCTGTGAGAACTGCTCAGGGTCCTCAAGAGCCCCATATGACTGTGAGACTCCCTGGGCTATACCCAGTGATGCTCAGGGGACCTGTGAGTTGAGGCCACGGATTGAATGGGCTTCATGCAAGGCACACACTTAAGCCCTGTACTAGCTCTCCAGCATCTCTTAAACATTTACATGCATGTTGTTTTTTTTTTATTTTCCTCTCTCTCTCTCTCTATTCCTCTACATATAGTTGGATGTACATTTATTTATGTCTAGACTCGTTTATGTAACATACAGTCAATGAGAAAAATTAAGTTTTGGACTCTGGAGCAATAGTACATCAGGTAGGGCATTTGCCTTGCACACGGCTGACCCAGGTTCAATCCCCGGCATCCCATATGGTCCCCCAAGCAATGTCAGGAATAATTCCTGAATGCAGAGCCAGGAGTACCCCTGAGCGTCACTGGGTATGACCCCAAAAGCCAAAATAAAATTATATTTTACATGCATATTTCATATGAACTACTGGAACTTTTAAATAATTCTACATTGTATTGTGAACATTTTTCTTGAAAGCCTCAATTTACGCTTTGGTGGCTTGGCGGTCAAGGACATTTTTTTAAATTTTGTTAATTATTTAGCAGTAGATCTCCTGAACATCCATTTTATTCATATAACTGCATATGATTTAGTTTATTCAAATGATTCCACATGACTGCTATAATTTTCTCATAGGAGATTTTCTTTAACAAAGGGTCAGCCTTTTTCATTAGTGGCTTTTGCAAAATGATTAGGCTAAGGGAACGAAATTATTTTTAATGGAATTCAAATTTCTAAATTTACTTCATGTTTTCTCTCCACAGGGCCCATTTGGAGGCCAGTGCTGAGAAGTGGAACAGGTTACTGACGTCTTTGGAAGAACTGATCAAATGGCTGAATCTGAAAGATGAAGAGCTGAAAAAACAAATGCCTATCGGAGGGGATGTTCCTGCCTTACAGCTCCAATACGATCACTGTAAAGTAAGTTGACTGCGTTTGGTGGATGCCATTTATCATTCATTTTGAATTTTGTGAAATAAATTTAGTAAAGTTCAAGATGATATCAAAATCCAATGAGTTATCACATACTTTTTTTTTTCCTTCCCTACATCTGGATTATCTGTATTTGGTGAATTTAATTCATCAATATCTTTCTGTTGTTCTTTTATTGTTGATTTATCATTAATTTACAATATTACAGATTTTATGGAGGTTAGCTTTAAACTTCCATATGTGTATATTCTACTATTACAAAGTCATGTTAGACAACTGAAGATATATATACATATATACATGTATATATATATATTGCTTTCATTTGTTTCAAACTACTTATCTCTTTGCATTTCAACTTTTTTTCAATCATTATAGGTAACTTATCTATAGAATAGCACTGCTTTTTATATTTTCATGAAATTTATCTAATTTTCCAATACATTTTAAATATATACTGGAAAAAATTCGGAACATAAATTAATCTTAAATATAAAAATTAGTCACTATAAACAGCATGTTTTACAGTAAATTAAAGTATCTTTTACAATAAATTAAATTTATTTACAATAAATTCATATAATAAAAACTTGTTATAGTAAAAAAGGTAGAATAAATATATCATAAATTAGAATCAATATATTTAACATCATTTTATGTATTTTACATTTCTGAACTCGCATTTACTTTTGAATCACATTATTTGTTTAAATTTTATCTCTATGCAAATTTGTATCTTATGCTGATAGATATGCTAAAATTTTATCAGCTGACACATTAAATTCTTAGATCCTGTATTATTTAATAATTTCCCCTAATTTTTATTAGCTTAATATACTTAATAGACATTTATTATATATTACATATAAGATCATTTAGCTATAATTTTTTATATTTAAAGAGCAATTCAACGTTTCATTTAAAATTAATGCATTTTAATGTCATGTTACATAAAGTGACATACACTAATGCAAGCATTATCTAAAGAAAGATACCATCTATAACAAGTTCCTTCAATTCAAAATAATAATATCTAAAAATTCCTTTTGTTAGTTTTTTTGTTTTGTTTTGTTTGGGACTTTCTCTAGATTCTTCATTAGGGATCACTGCTGAAGAGGTTTGGGGGACTGTATGGGAAGCCAAGGATCGAACCTAGGTTGGTCACATGCACGACCAAGAGGTCAACTAACTTTACTAATAAAATTGTTTTCATCTTGAACCTTTCTGAATAGGTGACTTAAATTATCATTTAGGTTTTTGTTTTCTATTTGAAAAGAAACTGATAGACAAATGGCTCTAAGAAAAGGAAAAGGAAGACATTACACATATGATACAGAAAGTAGTAATTATAATAGTGTTAGAATATTTAAATTGCTGATCTAAGAATATCATATTTTCCCTTTTTGAAACTTGCTTTCTTTTATTAATCGTTCAGATATTAGTGATGAAATTAACATAAATCTGTCTGATTACCCTGTGGGAATAAAATCTGTTTGTGCTACTAGTTTTGAGTAAAATCCAAATTTGGTGACATGAAAATGTTCCTCTGCCGCTTTAGCAAGTGAAGTGGGTAGTGAGTTTCCAGTCTGTTTTGGCTTTGTTCCGTTTCCTCCTCCTAACACACTTACCCTGTTTTAGGCTGTGCTTATTTCTATCACTGAGCACGATCTGCAGTTGCTCCACTTCAACACTTTAGATCCAGACATTTGAATAAGAAAGCTAATACTGTTAATGATGCTGAAAATAATATTACCTTATTCATTCAGCAGGTATATTTTGAGTGCTTAGAGGTGTTGGATCTAGCACTGGCAAACGGACAATTTAAAAAAAATTCATGCCTGATTCTGTGCTGAGACAGACACTTGAGAAATAAGCAATAACATAAAATATGTCCTTTAGTAAAAAGAACCATGTGAAAAAGCAAGGAAAAGAAGTAAGGAGATAATGATGGAAATGTATAGAGAGCAGAGATGCTATCATGTTTGACAAAGGTCAGGAAGCAATCATTACTGAGGTAATTAACTTCTTTTCCTTTTTAGTTTTTGGGCCACAGCTGGCAATGCTCAGGGGTTAACCCTTGCTCTTTGCTCAAGAATTACTCCTGGCTGTGCCCTGGGGACCATATGGATTGCTGGGGATGAACCCGGGTAGGCAGTGTGCAAGACAAGTGTCCTGTTCACTGTATTGTCTCTCCAGCCCCACCCCCCAAAAGAAGGGACTTTAAAAGGAAATTTGAAGTAAGCAAGACAATAAAAAAGTGCTACTCTCTGGGAAAAGTGGGACAGAAAGACACAGCTCACAGAGGCTAATGTGTTCCAGTGTATTTAAGGAAGAGATGGGTATAAGTCAAACAGAGTCTTAGCACGTGAGTTTGGCTGGGAGTGTGAAGATGGTGTGGAGGCCAAATAGGTCCTTTGAACATTCTTTATAGACTTTCAAGACTGTTTCTTTTACTCTGAGTGAAATGGAAAGCACAGAAATGTTAATTTTGGTGCTCTCTGCTTTGACTTCCACTCGATAATAATTAACTCCTTAAATTATGAAGAACCGAAAACAGAGGAGGTGGTCAGAAATGTAGTTTAGAAACACAAAGTGAGGAAACAACTGTTGTCTCAGACAAGGACATTATAGTAGAGATAGTTTTGGTTTCTGCGTATTTAGGGGAAAAAACTCAATATGATTTGATCATAGATTACATATGTGGAAAATGAGAAAGATAAAAGAATTGGTTTCAAAGATCAAAGGTTTGAGAGCAAAGATGTAACTATAGCTTACAGTATGGAGAAGACTGCTAGGTAAGTCATCAAGAAAAGAAATAATTTTAGCTTGCTTGTTGACATTTTGAATGTAAATGTAAAGTAGTTTTAGGCAACTTGCTCTACATATTAGATATTGCGGTGAAATCAGAACCAGCTCAAATTATCAGCGAATATATTAGCCATGAGAGTAGATTTTATTCCCTAAAGAAGACAAGAATTCTAAGTAATGAGGTCTGAGACAACTTGGCTTTTTAGAGATAAGAAATATAAGGAGACAAAGAAGGCAAAACTAAAGAATATAACTAAGAGAGAACAAGTCATACTGGAGGAAGCAAGAAGGAGCAAATATTGTTAAAAGATTTAAGAAGAAAGTCAGAAATTGACCACCCTCAGTTTTCAGATTGGTCCTGGAAAATTATTTCATTGGTGCAGTGAAATTGTAAGCTAATTCAAGAACATGAACAGAAGGCTAGAGAATTCTTCCAGGAATTTTTCTTTTTAAATACTAAAGTAAACAGGAATGAGACTGTAGGTGGGAGAGAAACTGGAATCAAGTAATAGTTTTATAAAGTGGAGACTAATTTCTCTGTTGATAGGAATGATCCTGTAAAGTGAGAAAAGTCAACCTTGCAGGAGAGATGGGACCATCATAGTGATGGTGACTACAGTGAACCAGTGAAAGAGCTGATCTGTAGTAAGAGGGCAACGCATTCATCCATTTTAGTAGGAAGGATGGAATATCGGGGCACAGACTAATGGAGGTTGTTAGATGTGGGTATGAAACATAGACAATCTTTTTTTATTGCCTCTATTTTCTCAATGAAGTAAGACACAAAATCATCAACTGAAAATGAGAAGAGGGAAAATGTGTAAGCAGACATTAGGTAGAAAATGTAGTCTGTAAGTGGGTATTAGTAAACTAGGGATGTATGACAAGACCACTAGTAGACATATTTGAAGTTTGTATTTGATGAACTTACCAGTGAGGACAACTCAGGTCATTGATTTTTTCATCTATGTTTAGTTGCTTTAGCGACAATGAGGAATTAATGGAAGAACTGAATTTAGTCAAGCAAATGTGCCAGGGGAAGAGAGAGATAAGGAAGCTACAGAAATACAAGGAATTTGAGCAACAATTGACTGCACATGAACTTGAAGCTAGGTTGGGGAGATGTGAGATTAGGAGAGAGATGATGCACAGAAAATGTGTTCAAAGCCAATGTTTTAGTAACTTCATTAATTGAGGACTGAGAATTTGTCCAAGTTGCAAAACTGTAAGAGACCATGTTCTGTAAAGAAGGAAGGTGACGATCAGAGAATGGATTCTAGAAATTGAGCATATGGTGGGAACTTTTATTGTTAATGATAATTTTTAGTGTCTGTGGAAAGGGTTTGCACAAGGAGTGTGAATAAGTCCTTAGAAGAGAGCAGTCCAAGGAATGGAAATACTATGATAGTATTTCCCTTGTAGAAAGATTCATCTCCATGTTAGAAGACTACTATGATCAAAGTAAGAACCTGATGTCCAAGTGATGACTATGAGATGGAAGGGTAATGAAGACATAATTTGGGATTCTAACATAAACACACTTTTGTTTTCATTCCTTATATCCTTTGAGTCTTCAAACAACACAAGATACCCCTGGTGGGAGATAGTGGGATGGGGGAAATTTCTGTTAAATTGAATGTGGATTATTTCATGATAAACAGCTGTTGAAGTTGTAAATCAGGAGTTTCTAATTAATGTCCACTGATACTTAAAGTTTCTCATTTATCTGTTAGATAGTATACGTGAAAAGTGCTGATTTAATTTCTGAGCCTAAGGACAAGTAGTTTCTCTATCATGGTTATAACCTCAGTGAAATAATCCTTTTGTAGAGGTTTGTGTTGGCTCGAGATTGTAGAATATGGCATGCTTTTGTGTTCTGACATTTTATGCCTTTCTATGCATCAGTGATCCAGAATTACATGTTTTTCTAAATTATTACCATTTTGCCCATTTTTTATTTTATTTATAAATAAGTAGTCTTAACATGTAAGATATGGAGTCAGTTTAAAAGTATGTGTCAGTCCACAACACCCAAAAGGAGAGAGAGAACACAGGGGATTGCCCTGCCACAGAGGCAGGGGGGATGGGGGAATGGGGGTGGGGGGGATATTATCCATGGTGGTAGAAAATGGGCACTGGTGGAGGGATGGGTATCTGATCATTGTATAATCGAAACCCAA